CATATACACTGTGGTTCAGTTCATTATGTATAGTGAGTCCACTGGTAAATACTGTAAATTAACTATAGCTGATGTACGAAAGACTAGTTGCAATGTTTGAACAAATGAGGAGCACCAAAAACGATTCATTTATAGAAAGCGTGACAGAGACTAAATCCAGGTCATTCACATCCAGCACCGCATTAAAACTGAGGAAGAAGACTAGGCAGCGCGCTAAAAATGCATCATTTGTGGTATTAAACGACAATACTGTAGTTGCACAAATATGCCTGAAACAACCACCGCCAATCCGATTGCAATGAGCGCGGTCAGAGCCTCATCCACTCTCCAAAGTGTTCCGAAAATTGTGAAGGGCTTCGACACCAGTGTTGGTTGGAACTTGGTTGCTGCCAAGGGTGACCCGATACCTAGATCTTCGGCCACTCTCATTGGAACCATAGTAAATGAAGAAGACGAAGCTGTGCCCAAACAACCTACGTGGACTGTATACCGACCAGCTGGTGGCTTGACCACAACCAGAGTTGCACGTAGCATACCAGCGGTAATCTGCACCAACATCCCAGAATCGACGTAAATTTCCTTAAAAGGTAAACAACTCGATGACGTGAACCAGTGGAACTCCATATGTGACACTATAGGTGTTGTAACTAAGCCCGTCAATTTGACACGCGTTACCCGTCACCCAAATGCACAGCACTACGGTGAACCAAGACTTCTCCGAGTTGTGCTGAATTCTGCCAATGTATCAGAAGCTGTGCTGTTATCAAAAGCTCGCCTCCGAAATGGGTCATGTTCCATCCGCCTATTCTCGGATACTCCGTGGAGCCAGCGCAGACAGTCGAAGCAGTACTTGGACGAACAGCGTGCGGAATTCGTAGCCAGGACCATCCTTGTACACGGAGTTCTCGAGGCTGGAAGTCGTGATGAGCGCGAAGCGGCCACTCACGACCAGAAGTAATGGCGGTACATTCGAGAGACCCTCGCTCTGGGAAGCATCATAGCTTAACCATCCTAGAGGCTGCGCCGATCACCAAACTACAAGGGATGTGGTCCGAGGATTGTAAAAGTTGTCCTTCAATCTAGACAAATGTCAGCAATGGTAGTGGAAGGATGGTATGCGGGCCGCAGCAGCCTTCCATCCGAGCTCCAGATCAAAACAGCATTTGCTAAGCAAACACACGAGAGCAGCCACTTAGTCAGACAACTTACCGGCAAGAGTTGGGATCACTTCAGTAAACTCGTCAATGAAACTGGCAAGCACACCACATACATTATATATGAAGTAAGAAGCAAAGAGTTAATGGTAGGATCCATGAATCGGACATAGATGAGTTCGTCATGCCCCAACCAAAAACCATTAGTTGCAGACTTTCACCAGTCGGCACAACATTTTATCCAAAACACCCATCCCACGATTCATTGCTAAAAACAGCGAAACTTTCCTGTATGTATATCAATGCACAAGGTCAGCTGAACAAGCCTGCCGAATTGCGGATACGTCAAGAGCCCCATGCCTGGGACCTTACGGAAACCTGATTTTACTCAGAAATTACTGATGCCGAATTCGTTATAGATGATATGTCCCTTCTTCGAAAGGACCGACATAGCAAAGACGGAGGTGCAATGTTATATTACCACAACAACCTGCAGTGGGAACCGGGAGGCTGATCCAGAAACGCTGATCATAGACTCACTCTGATGCAGTTTTCGACTGAGACGCAACGACACTTGCCTTTTGGCTGTTGTTTATCGTCCCCCAATGTCCACCCCAGAGATGAACTCCTGCCCGGCATTATTCTTGGGTAGGGTCCTACGAGGACGATACAGTCACGTTCTCATTTCAGGGGACTTCAATCTTCATGATTTTTAAGTCTTGGCATCTCCAAACGAGCAGTTAAAGGCCGACCTGCAAGTATGTTGCAGGCATTACGCTCGTCAGCCAACCCACTTCACACACCTGATTCAGAGCCGGAAATAAACCATCTGTGCTTGATTTAGTGTTCACGTACCAAGAGCTCATGGTTGAGAAACCAGGGCTGGAGAGCCCTCTGGGGCGGAGTGACCACGTAACCATAATTTACGACTTCGTGTGTTATGCAGTGTATCCACAAGAACATACTAACTGGTTTCGAACAATCACCAACTACGACATACCGGCAGGAGTTGTTGAAGATGCCAGCTGGGAGTTTCCGTACGAATGTTCCATTGACAGTACTTTGTTAGATTTTATTATCAAGTTCACTGATCTGATTAAATCTGCATCGTTCAACTAGCCCCTTCTTTGTGCAAGGGCATATTCAGTCATTCGGAGTAAAATACGAAAACATAAGACAGTAAGAGACGCCGCGTGGCATGTGTATAGAGCGAACCCTAGCCCTGACAGCTGGAGTAACTATGTTGTGCATCGTAATCACTGTACCACACTTGTGCGCGGAGACAAATTAGTACACCAACGGAGTCTAGCGGAAAAGGTTTGTGTTAACAAGAAGCTTCTGTACAGTCATGTGAACAGGCTCCGGAATGTGAAACATGGTGTTCTCCCACTAATAACAGCGGACGGATGTGCTCAAACCGCCAAGATACTGGCTCGTTTCTACGGCTACCATATGCCCTAATTTTCCGATGTGCTCAAAGCGTTTGTAACATTCTAGGCCATACTCCCAGATGTCAGTCATTACACACGTTACTAGTTCGGCAATTCTTTTGAGGAAGCGGCTATCGCTGCATACCCATAATTCCCCCGGAGTTGAAAACATTCCCCCGAAAACACTGCAGGTGGACGCTAGGATCAAAGCTGAACCATTAGCGAGATTATCCAAAGATGCGTGGACGAACAGCAGGTACCTAACATGTGGAAGCAAGGCATCAATACCACGATTTTCAAAAGTGGTAGCCGTTCAGAACCAGCCAACTATCGACCAGTGACTCTCTTCCCGGTGCTTTATAAGGTGATGGAGCCGATCATAGCTGAGGCTCTGATGGGGTAATTTGAAAGAACTAACATCATAGCATCGGAGCAACACGGATTACGTCAGCATCCGTCAAGTATTACTAACCTCCTACTGCTTACCCGTGGCAACTGGACCGAGATAGCCGAAAGTGGGACTGACACTGATGTCAGCTACCTAGACTTTTCCAAAGCATTCCACCACCTAGATCACCGCATTCTTCTCCAAAAGCTGTACTCATACGGAGTTGGAAATTCTGTCATTGGATGGATTGGAAATTTCCTCTTGCAGCGGCGCCTTCAGATTCGAGTTCGAGGTTCATTTTCTGACCCAATTGATGTGGACTGCGGTGTTCCACAAGGATCGGTGTTGAGGCCACGATTATTCTTGTTCTTCCTTACCGACCTTGCAAGTGTCATCAAGTCAACTTTCGTGCTTTTGCCGATGAAAGCAAGATATGTAGGGCAATCGATTGTCATGAAGATCACCATATGTTACAAGGAGACTTACACGGCGCTTTCGCGTGGTCAAATCTATGTCTAGTTCCGTTTAACACGGACAAGTGCAAATCCGTACATGTCCGCCACAAACCCACGAGCGCATGTAAGCTTGGAGACGATATGCTGAACACGGCCTCACAAGAGCGAGACCTTGAGGTGGTAATATAAGGCGATCTCGGCTGTTCGGTGCAGTCTTTGAAGGCGTCCAAAACTGCGAACTATCATGTTGGTCTGTTACTGAGGGCGTTCGGGTGTTCGATCCTTCCACCTTCCCCTAAATGCTCAGTGCGTATGTGAGGTCCTACGTAGAGTACGCGATCCAGGCTCGGTAACCCTGTTTAAAATGCGAACTGGTTGCACTGGAGACCGCACAGCGACGGGCAACGAAAAATGTGAATGGTTTGTCCCATGTGCAATATCACAGGTGACTGAAAGCCCTGGGAGTATACAGCGAAAGATATGACTGTCTACGAAGTGACCTAATCTTGGCGTTCCAGATTTTGAAGAACGCCGCTCACGCTTGACGCCGTCTCCTGAAACTTACCTGCAACACCGAATTGAGAGGTCATAAATTGAAACTTGTCACCCAATACAGTCGGCTGGAGTGCCACGGGAATTACTTCTCCCTTCGAGTTTGTCAACCGTTTATCACTCTTCAACTTTTCTCATTTCAGCGTCCATGCTACCCATTTTTATAAATCCACTCAGGGATGCTTTACATCATTTACATTACTTGATCTGAGTTCAGTTCATTGGGTGGCGACAAGACGCAGACAAGCATTGTGCTCACCAAACCCACGAAATCGGGTTGGACGACATACCTATGTGTTAACGTGGATAATATGGTGAGTCCACAGAAGTGTTTTTCACTTTTGTTTAACGACTGAACTAACGTTATTCCCACAAACCATTCCACGGGACTTGTCAAGTCTCGACTTTTTTATCTGTATGATACCATTGTTCCATTGTTCAATTGTTCATATTTCGTTCCCTTCAAGGATTATGCTGAGTAGAAGTATGTTGATAATATCGGTGCAATGACCGATGGCCTCACTAGTAATATGTGGCGGCGATTCCTAAACATGCAACTACTTGCGGCTGCAGGTGTACTGGACACTTCATATGTAAATAATTCAATGAAATAACGACGCATCGTTTGAGGGACTTAGAGTTTACTAACCGAAATCTTGAACATCGTGGCTCCCCCGTGTAATACGCGCTTCCTTCTCTTGTAGGGCCGATTACGCTATCGGCAGTTGGACATAGTAATATACAGTGTGGAATAAAGTTTGGTCTTGAAAATAAGTTACTTCAAATAGCTCTAATAATTTTCAAGTCTAGATTTAAGCGCCAATGGAGGACGGCATTCCGATCGGAGGGATAGAGCCTTATGTTGTGTTTCATTAGTAAATCGGTGAGCATCAATCGCTTTTATTGCCAGTGTCTATCACCGTATTACATGTTAGGGAGTTGCGTCACAGCCCAAAACTTATTAAAGTAGTACCCAGACTGAATGGCGCAGACTTTGAGAATACTGACGATCGCAACTTACTCCATGTTCTGCAGCCAGAAAGTACGCATGGTGTAGTAGGCCAACTCGGTAGCATCCAAGTGAGTTACATTAATCGATCCGTAGAGGATGGATCCGTTCAAGGGCCAGTAACGATCGCATTGAATTTCGCCTCTCTCCACGAATCTTGTAAGCATGACGATCACCTGCGCCTGTTGCTCCCAGACCATAGTCCAAAAATCCTTCATAGTCTCTGGCAGGGGGGCCTGACAGGGGAATAGGAGTTGGTAAGTTACGTAGGATCTAACACCCCCGACAATAAGTATACTGCATACCGCCAAGATCTAACAACAAAGCGACCAGCCATGGCTATCTGTCTATACTATCCGCATGAACTGCAGTTCATGTGGATATTAATGACTCAAACCGGTTACACCCAGCTTCAATCAGGTGCGACATTTAGTAGTTACAACGGTCTCCTACAGGAAAAGGAACCCATGACCGTTAGCATCTTGCGCTAACCATGCTGCAGCTTATATCATTGAATCATGGAAGAGAGTGGCGCATGGTACAAATATGTAGGCTAACTGGGATATAAAATATCATATCCTCTACTCTCAAGCAGATTACGGTCATTGCAGAGGACAGTGGCTGGCTCAGCGGCATAAGCTGCTGGCTAGTTGGCGCGCACACACACACACGCACAGCTGATGTTACAAATAAGACTACGGTGATCAAAGGACGAGAAGTCATTATACTGGTCTTTAGTTTGAGCAAACCAATGTAAGTGGTGTGAAATAGCCTAATCCCGGAAGACCGGTTCTGGTGAGATAAGCCGAAACACACCTCAAGCATACACAACTGAACCCTTTCGGGAAGCCAACCAGCTGTTCGCTGCTCGGTGTCAAGCATAAAAGAGAGCTGTGAGGACTACTGCGCTTGCCATAGAGATTAAGTTGCACTAATGTAGGCGATGCATCGAGTAATCCACTGATTGCACTTACGTCAGTGGCGCAGCATTCTTGAGAGAGGAAGCACTCATTCGACGTAAGTAGACGTCCTCGCAAACGCCTAAATATTAGCCACTGTGAACTACCATTTATCCGTGGAATGGAAATATCTGAAGACAAGCACAGTACCCCACATGTATCGTGGCGCTGGAGAAGTAAGATGTTGCGTTTACCTTAAGATGTATTCCCACCCGTCTGTATTTGGGGAATCAAGCGCACACAACTGGCCACGTTGCTTACGCTAATTGTGCTTATCTTCGGTAACTTTGTCGCGTTTGTAGCATTTCTAAGTAACTTGTGGATATATTTTACTTATCGCGGATTCGTTGCTAACCAATTTACTTTATATGCTAATTTGCGAATAGTTATGTCACGGTATCTGTATGCATTATTCGGTTTATTTTATTTCATCTCGTCGTTTCAAGTGATTGGCTGTTGCTTGATATCCCCAGTGTGGCTGCGCTTGATGTGCATGTTCACAAGGTGCCTACCTGTCTATTACCCACTACCTCGTCCATACTGGCTCCAGGAGACAGTTGGTCGTTGCTGGAGGGGACAGGGTGCACAGTTCTTGTGGCCGTGCTAGGCTCGAAGAGTGGTTCCATGCACTCAGTGTGGAGCGGGCTACGGTCCATCTACCGCCTTGTGTGCGCTTGATTCCCCAAATACAACGTGCTTGTGTTTGACTGTGAAGGAGTGTGGGCCGGCTCCGTTGATGAAAAGTGGCTCCCATCCGCATGCTTCCCAGTCTTATTCCTTCGGTTTTACACTGGATATTGGATGTGTGGATGTAGCTGTGGGTGGTACAGCGCAAGCCACCCATGGTCCCTCTGTAGGCGCAGGCGTCCTGTGGTTGGCCACAGTGACAGGCAAATCCGAAACCGGATGCCCGTCAACCATGCCCACCCGCCTAGCCTACACAATAACCGCCATAGCGACGGCTACATTAAATCTCCGTGCATGGGCTGAAACGTTACTCTGTGCCATAAAATGTCACCAGGACACTTCGGTCGCTGTATCCATCTCACTGGTCACGTCAGTGATGTGCACCAGTTCACACGTACAGCTATATTCAGCCATCACGCCATACCCTAAGGCACTGCTCGTGTTGAGTCCACAGACGTCCTCATCTGTGTCCACGGTACGCGGCCACCATTGTATGCAAGGACAGACGACAGGGCTTTTGCTAGTGTCCATTCTTGGGTACATGTGGCCACTAGCCCGTTCCACCACTTGGCCCCTGCATCAGTAGTGGTGTGGATCACTTTTATGTCCCTGTTGTCGACCATAGGGGCTCAAGATTTGGTTAGACACACATACTCCACGTACATTCCGTCTGCGTCTGCGGAATACGATGCTCAAATGCATGGAGCGCCTCAACAACTTCATTCATGTCAATCAAATTGGCAGCTGCAGTGTTGACCCGGATGGCGGAATTCGTGCTGGCAGATGGTTAGGTAGGGAATCGGGTGTTGTCGATGTCGCGGAAACACGGAACATGCATGCGCAACTACCGTAAGCAAGAACTGAAAGCATGTTGGCTAACCTAATGCACTTGGCCTTAAGTGGTTTCGCTTTTCGAATCAAATATCTTTGCTGAAAAAGGAGTGAAGGGAAAGGAGGTTAAAGTTGCTGACATTCTAAGATAAGCCATCCCATGAAGCGCCGTGATTATCTGCTACCTAGGGTCTAACGCATCAGACGATTGGGATAGTTACCAAAACTGATTCAACGAGTACGGCGTACTTAACTAATTGATGCATACCGACTGGCATTGCAATCACCCATGTGTATGGGGCTGAATTTGCCTACAGTATGTAATTCGCCAGTCAATTTATGTACCGCCCCCTGCAATTGTACACAGATCAGGAAATGCAAACTACCACTAAGCCCTGCTCCATTTCTCCTTTGATGTAGCTCCCAGACCCACACAGAAACACACATACACAGGCTGAAGCGGCTATATAAACTGTAAGTGATACATGTTGCATCTAAAGCTCCGACAACGAAGATCTAGGAAAAATGTCACCTTACCTACTGCTATAATTGCTGCTATCTTATACTGACCGAACACATTATGGGTACCCCTTACCATGGCTTACTTTAGCAGCGTTGTCACAGCTGATGAAAGCTGCTCTGATGAATTCCAATATTCCTCAAACTAATGGGAAGTTCTCATTCGGAAAAGCAAGTATCATCCCAGTTACTGAAACCGCCGAGCTGGGTGAAAAAAACATAGTAGCGATATAACCGACGTTACTTGATGTAAATAAGAAACTAGCGGATGTACAGACTGAGTTGTTTACGTTTAAACAAAAGGTTTTCCTTCAGAACCACTATCACAATATCTGACCCAACTGTTATACAAAACGGAAACGCCACGTTATTCCTATTTCCAGCAACTACAGCTTGCGAATAACCTGAGAAATAGAATAGCCGCCGAGACACACCAACGAACGATAAGATCGCAAAAATTCAACCGCCTTTAACGTCGCAAACTGATGCCCAATGGACTTTGTGGAGCTCACCATACATAGTACTTGCACACTAAAACAGGTTGATTTTAGCGTGGTACGGCTCCACCAGAAGTCTCAGGAACACATATGTTTAAATTCCTCAGTCCATCCAATGCAAATAAACCTACGCAAAGCTGAACAGTTATCTCGTCGTCTACGGAATTCAAATTCACCGTCTTTAAGGCTAGCCGTCCATCGCAATGAGAATGGACGTTACCGTGGTGCGATGGTTTGCGTGCTTTAGTGATCCATTGAGCTATGCTGGGTGATGTTTTCTTTTGTACCTTCAGGGCCACTCATGCCAGTTTGGTCAATGGTTAGAGGCCAGATAAACTCAGCATCTTGGTCCTCCAAATTGGGCGTTGGAATGAGGGTGGCTCCTTAATCCTTAAAACGGACTCCTTGTAGCCCAACGCCAAACCCGCTGCCTTGCGGTCAGGTTTTTGAACCAAAGTCTTTGGTTGAGAACCCTAATGATTCTCCTGTCTAGGCCCAGGCAACCTGACAGTATCCTGCCCACGCAGTACTATGAATCTTTCGGCAAAGAAATTCCTGCTATTCTGGCCACCGCATAGGATAACCAACGGCGCCGTGTCTGCTGCATCGAGCAGGATGGATAGGGGTTTGGAAGCTACTGCTCAAGCCTTCCCGTCTTGTTATTCCCCCTGTTACGCTTTTTCATGCTTATAGTCCCGGTCCGAGTTCAGTTACACTCCCCTGTTTTCAACTAGACATTACTGGACCTCCCCCAACATGCTTTGCTGGGTGTTTATCTTCTAGTTTCAACGCACATGCAAACGCGCAGCGTCACTCCTTTCCTGTCGACAAGCCCATGTCCAACCAAGCGATCCACCCTAGTTCAAGGGCTTCCATTTGGAGCCCTCGATCCTCCTTCAAATTAGCATGTCGCAATGTACGCACACTGCTACAGATCGGTCAACAGGCAGCACTTGCCTGAACTTTAGAGACCCTCTCGATCGAAATCTTCTGCTTATGGGAGACCCGTCTGAAAGACTCGAGCTCTGTGCTCATTGCCATCCATTTTAGGTGACACCAGCAGTATTTTCTCATTGCGCCTATCTGGCGCTGCAGTAGCTTCGAGCACCGGTCAAGCTGATGTTGGTATTGCCCTGAGTCCCCGGGCTGAAGCTGCTCTGGTTGATTGGATGCCAGTCAATAGCCGGATGTGTGCGGTGCGATTGGCTGGTTCGTTCAAAGGATCGAAGTCGCGCGGGACTAACAGGTGTCTATTCGTTATCGCTGCCTATACACCGACAATCTGTAGCGATGACTCGGTAAAAGACAACTTCTATCGTCAACTGAACGAGCTATTTCGCCACAGAAGAAGCACGGACACTGTTGTGCTGGCTGGGGATTTGAAATCACAAGTTGGAAAGTTGTCCACTGATGAAATGCATCTGCGCGGTCAGCACGGTGTAGGATCCTGTAATGATAACAGTGAGCGATTACTTCATTTGTGTGAGGATGCTCGCTTGTTTCTTGCGATCACTAACTTCCGACACAGCACTTGCTCGAGAGTGACTTGGCGCCCACCAGCCTCGAACCAGCTATGGAGGCAAATCGATCACATTGCGATTAATTACCGATGGAGAGTCTGCATCCAGAACTGCCGATCAATTTGGAGCACAGGTGTGGACACCGACCATGCACTTGTATGTGCTGACCTGCGGATGCGTTTTGCAGACGATTACGACGACGCTGTGAGCGCATTAACACCAG